AAAAAAAAAAAAAAAAGAAAAGAAAAGAAAAGAAACAGTGGCCTAAGGGTTCATTATTATTGTCTATTATGAAGTATCCTCCTCAGGTGGAGTAAATGTTGGCAGAAACACTGTGACTCATTTGCAGCTAAGAAAACAATATTAAATTTTATTAGTAAAACTGGGAATTTATGACTTACCTTGAATAAAACAGTTGCAAATTACAATGCCAAGAGGTAAATGTGAATCAGCATCAAGAACATGCTCTACTGGTAGTTTTGATGTAACGGTATACATCAAAAGAAAAAATTTCTCCACCTTCTAAAGACTACTTTTTTATCAACATCTGATAATTAACACTTATTGCCATTCAATGGAGAAGGTGACCATAAGTATCTCTGCATTATTTTGACAACCTTTATTAGTCCTTAAGAACCTGCTATTGTCTTCCCCCAAAATTCTGTGTCCAAAGCTTGTGGCCTGTTCTTTTTCTGATCTGGCCTAACAGTTGGTTCTTATAACCCACCATATGTTCTTTAAGAAGCCTGTGCTGAATGCTCGAGGCATGAAGACTGACACCACAGTTGTACAATATTCACTGCTCACTGCCATGCTGTGTAAATCAGACAATATATAATCTCAAAGGAAAGGAACAATGACACATATCTGTAATCTCAGCATGCTGGGAGACCAAGTTGGGAGAATTGCTAGAATTGAAAGTTTGAGAACAGCCTGGGGAACATATTAAGACATTTTCTCTAAAAAAAAAAAAATAAGAAAAGTCAGCTGGATCAAATATGGTGCACTGTAGTCCCAGCTATCTGGAAGGGAGAGAGAACAAGATACCTGGAGGCCATCAGGTGTAGGGGGCAGTGGTCTGTGATCACACCAGTGCCTTTTCCTTCCAGAAAATGGCAAAGAAAGGATTCTTGGCAGTCGCAAATCTATCACTCTACTTTTTCCTTCCCACACACCACAGTCAATGGTTGGTAAAGATGGCATATGATGAAGATATTTCAAAGTTCAGGTGGAAAGTCATGAAATGTAGATTTCTGAAGCAACCTCAAATAATGAAATAGTGTATAACCTAAATATAACCGATGATGTCCACATGTCCTTACATTGTTGATACATGTCATGTCATACCAGTCAATGTATTTTGATTTATAGTCACTCTCCACCATGTAACATCAGACTTTAAATACTGGAGAACTAGAGACTGATTTATTTCTTGTGCAAGCTCTCTCATGGTAATGGTCCTTGGGAATCGGTCACATGACAAACACTTCATCTGAGTGGTTTCATGGAAGATGTACCTTTAGGTATGTACTGAGGACTTGAGTAGGCACGCCCCAGCCACGTACATTGCATTTATTTGATTTCTCTTTAGTATGTACTGGGATACTGATTAATGGTAAAACTAGTAACGAAAGATTTGTCACTCTCAGTGAGTCTGCAACAAATAAATTCTCTGATGCTGGGCAAGGCATGAAATTTGACTAAAGACTTTGCCATGCAGGTTTGTAAGGTTTCTCTTCTGTGTCAATTCTTTGACAACTTTTCAGGTATAATTTTAAACTAAATACCGTCCCACAATCATTACATTTATAAGGATTCTCTCCAGTGTGTTTTCTTATGAACTCTAAGGGATTTCTTCCATTTGAAGGGCTTGCCACACTCATTACAATTGTAAGGTTTCTCCCCAGTATGAATTCTGAGATGAACTCTTAAGGATACTTTGTGCCTAAAAGCTGTACCACAATCACATTTGTAGGGTTTATTTGCATTATGAATAACCTGATGCAAACGAAGGTTCGAACACAACCTAAAATTTTTCCCACAGTCGTTGCATTTGTAAGGCTTCTCTCCTGTATGAATGCCCTGATGTTGTATAAGGTAACTTTTGCAAGTAAAGAGTTTGCCACACTCATTGCATTTGTAAGGTTTCTCTCCAGTGTGTGTTTTCTGGTGAATTGTAAGGGATATCTTCCGGATGAAGGCCTTGCCACATTCATTACACTTATGAGGTTTCTCTCCAGTGTGTGTTTTCTGATGAACTGTAAGGGATAGCTTATGCCTGAAGACCTTGTCACATTCATTACATTTGTAAGGTTTCTCCCCAGTGTGGATTCTCTGATGAGTTTTAAGGGTTGACTGTTGGCAGAAGACCTTGCCACACTCGTTACATTTATACGGTTTCTCTCCAGTATGAATTCGCTGATGACATGTAAGGGATGTCTTTTTACTGAAGGCTTTGCCACACTCATTACATTTATAAGGTTTCTCTACAGAATATATTTTCTGATGACCAGTATGGAATACTTTCTGTCTGAAGGCCTTGCGACATTCCTTACACTTGTAAGGTTTCTCTCCCAAACGGATTGTGTATTGAGTTTTAAGTTTTGATTTATGACGAAAGATTCTGCTACACTCAATGCATTTGAAAACCTTCTGTCCAGTGTGTGTTTTCTCATGAATTGTAAGGGCTTTCTTCTGTATGAAGGCCTTGCCACATTCATTACACTCGTAAGGTCTGTCTCCAGTATGAATTTTATGATGCCTTGCTAAGTGTGCATTTTGCCTGAAAACCTTGCCACACACCTCACATTTGTAAGGCTTATTCCCATTATGGATAACCTGATGTTTATAAAGTATTGAAAGCAAACCAAATGCTTTGCCACAGTCAGTACATTTGTAAGGTTTTTCTCCAGAATGAATTACCCGATGTCGCAATAGGTGTGCATTTTGCCGGAAAACACTGCCACACTCATTACATCTGTAAGGTTTTTCCCCAGTATGGATTCTCCAGTGTTGTACAAAATACGATTTTTTCCTAAAGGTCTTGCCACACTCTTCACATATCACAGGTTTCTTTTCAGTATCAACTACCCCATGGTCAGGAGGGCTTGAAGACACACTAAAGGCTTCATCACGCTCGTTACGCCTGTAAGGTTCTTCCCTAATATGCGTGTTCACTTCTTGTGTGACTACTGGAGAATGGACAAAATCATTCTGATATTTATTAAGCATGTGGGTTTTGAACTTAGAAGGAGTGGTTTCAAGTGGTGAACATGAAGTAATACAGTTGAGAGACTTTTCATCTTCATTGCACTCATCAACTTTCCCTTCATCTTGAAATAGTTGCTGTTCAGGAAGATGAGAGTGAAAACTTAATCCAAGTTGATTTTTAATAGATTTGTATCTTGCTTCCATTCCCAATACATAGCTCCTTCCTAGAAAACCAAGAAGAGAGTGGAAATTGAACATATGGATCTGGCATTCCAAGACTCTAAGAATAAGATCTACCCCACTCGATTGGGACATTGAGAGGAACATCAGTATACTCTGCATGGCAAACTGGCAATGCTGAAAACATAAAGAGGTGAGGGGACACACTGGATTATCTGGCAGTCTGAAGTAGCCAGAAGGCTTACTGGTGAGTTTCAGACAGATTCTGAACAGAGAAATCCAACAGAAGTTGAAAGCTTCTGAAAAAAGCATGGATGAGCGTCTTAGAGAAAAATCAGACATTTCAGGGAAGCTGCTTACACATTAGCAATAGTATATGAAAACAACCAGGGAAGACAGACCCATCACCAGAATAGGAGTGAGTGCTCCTAGATCCTTTCCAATGGGCTGATGAGTAAAGGTCTCCCATGGCATCATTTTAGGGCAAAAAGAGTGGTGGTTGTTCTATCAATGCCCAAGCCTGATATAAAAATTAGAAGGCCTACAGAAAGACAGGGAAGTATGCCTAAATAAAAGGAATCAAATACATGTCATGAAATAAAACCAAAAACAACACAGCCTTCTTAATAGCTTGAAAAATAATTAAAGCAACAGTTCAAATATGTGCAAAGCTACAAGATCAGAGAGATACAGAACTAACTGAATGAAGGGAATCAATAATTGAAAGAGGAGCGTATTAAATAGAAGAGAAACTGCTGAACAAAAAAAATTCTAGAACTACAATAGAACAAGTGCAGTAAAATTCACTAGTGGAGACTAAGTTACACAGAGGAATGAGCATGTTTAAGACAGATTATTCAAAATTATCACTTCCAAAGAGGAAAAAGAAATAATAATGAAAACCCTACAGATTTGGGGGATACTCTCCTATGGAACAACATACGAACTATGAGAGTTTCATAAGACACAGGACTAGAAACCACATCTGGAGAAATAATGTCCAAAATGTTCCCAATTTGAGTAAAGAACTGGATACATATATTCAAAAATCTTCACTGTTTTAATGTAAAGCACACAAGGACACTCACAAAGACACCATCAGCAGTGAGAGACAAACCAATTATGAAAGTAACAAGAAAACAGAGATTTGTCATACACAAATAAAGTATATAAGACTGTGCATTTTTCAGCAGGAAGTTTACTGCTAGAAAGCATTTATCAGGCAAGAATACAATATTTAGTGAAACTTTCCTCTAGA